AAAAATGAACCTAAATGATTTTAGCATATGGCTGCAATATAACAAAGAGTGAAAATTTTAAGGGGGTCTGAATACTTTCCGTACCCACTGTATATGACAAAAACATAAAACTGTTCTGTAAAAAACATAAAACTAAGAATAAATATGCAAAAAGCCAAGAAGTAGCTCATAAAACACATAAATACATCTATGCACAAGCTGGAATTTTTTCCAGTCCTCAACCTTTTGCCTGAAATGGATTCATGCAGGTTGGAATTAGCCCTGATATTATTAGCAGTTGTTTATAAACCTGCCAACATTTCTTGCATTTTCCCAACTCTTTGTATCTGCCTGAACCATCCAAGTGGAACAGTCAGGAAACTACCAAAAAGGTTTGACACTGCTTCACCACCTTGACATTTCTGTAATTTCTGAAGCTTACAAGCGCCCTCACCACTACATAGAGAGTAAATAATCATAGTCATTCCATTACATGAATCCATTAGATCACAGACGTACTATTTGGTGGAGTCAGAGAGCTGGTACTCTCGTCTACGATCGTAGGCCTCCTGGATGCCAGGGTCAGCCCACAGCCTCTTTATCGCACTAATGTATGGCTGTTCGAATGATGACACCTTTTCCACATCCACCTCACGCACCAGCTGAGCATTATTCTGAAGAAAAGGGGAAAAAGCAAACATCTAACAATACCATTAGGGTTTTATTTAAAAAAAAAAAAAATTTAATCTATTCTTAACAGATGTCATGCAATCCAAAATACCCAAATCCAGTGCGCAAATGATGACATTTTCAAAATCAGGGGAAAACAGTTTACTTAAGTAGTGAACACATTCACAATCTCTGCAGCGCTATATTCAGTAAAGAGTACACCAACTATGGTGATCAGTAATCATAGGCCACAGTTCACTGAAGGAGACCAGGCCCATTTACATCTTATTTTAATGCCAGGTTTATGATCCATTTGAATGTGGTGTGCTGATTAAACTGGACACACAGGTGCTGGATGGAGCAATCAAGAACAGTGATTGCAGGTCACGCTGACAACAGTGGCCAGACATTTCACAGGAAGCTGAATGATAATTCGCACCAAGATGGCAAATGGCCTTTGTTGACTGGATGAAGTCATTTGTGTCCATGAGCAAGACATGAACTTCTACCTGCTCACCAATTAAAATTCCAGAATGAACACCACTAGAGGCAGCTCTGGTTTGGTTAAGGAGAGAGCATTTAGTCTTAAATAAATCAGCTGGCCAGAGATTTGGGTATGTTATGCTTGTACTGGGCTAATGTAGTCTAGGACTGCTAGCCTCAAGCAGAGATGAGAAGCAGGCTACAGAGATCTAATGAGATTCCTTTTCAACTCCACACCACTAAATTTTTCAGTCTTGTAGTTTTGGGCCGAGCTGAGGATTACTTGAGTGAAATCAGTTTATCTGCTTCACCAGGACTGTGTGGGTGTGGTGTTACTGATATTTGATTGACAGCTAATCAACACATCAACTAACATCAGATTCTAAAACAAATGGTGCTAAATCCTTATTGGTGTACAGAAGAATGTGACATCATCTTGTTCTAAATGAATCCTGCCTATCCAGCGAGAATAGCTGTGTCCCAATGGACCTAAAACGTAATGATGTAATGCACTTTTTACTGTGGTGCATTGTGGGTGAAAGGTGAGGATGATACAACTCAACTCAACTTTATTTATAGAGCACTTTAACACAGCCAGAGCCAAACAAAGTGCTTAACATAAGATTCCATTTAAAACATGTAAACAAATAAACAACTACATTAATAAAAAAGAATAAAACAACAATAAAATTGAATAACTAAATCAAAATAGCACAAAGTACTATCCAAAACCAGGACCCGAACAGAGTCTCACACCGTATCTAGCGCCAAGGCATACAAATGGGTCTTCAAGTAAGTTTTAAAAGTGGCCAACGAGGGGGCCTGCCTTATATAAAGAGGCAGCGCATTCCATAGCCTAGGAGCCACAACGGAAAACGCTCGCTCTGTCCACTTTAAATTTACGCCTAACCCTTGGTACCCCCAGCAAGAGCTAGTCAGCTGATCTCAGGCACCGAGACGGACTATAGGGAGACAAAAGCTCAACAAGGTACGATAGTGCAAGACCATTAAAAGACTTAAAAACAAATAAAAGGATCTTAAAATGAATCCTAAAGGTCAAAGGGAGCCAGTGAAGGGATGCCAAAATAGGGGTTATGTGCTGCCTTTTACGCACCCCAACCAAAAGACGGGCAGCCGCATTCTGAACCATTTGGAGACGAGCAAGTGACGACTGGCTGACTCCAACATACAGTGCGTTACAGTAATCCAAACGTGATGTAATAAATGCATGGATTACTGTCTCAAAATGCTGGCATGCAAGAAAAGGCTTTACCTTTTCTATCTGCCTAAAGTGGAAAAAACTAGATTTCACAACCGCATTAATTTGGCGGTCAAATTTCAGACCAGAATCAATTTTTACACCCAAATTCAAAATCGTCGGTTTCTCATACCATGTGAGGTGACCTAAATCAACTGAAGGGAGGTCGCAAGATTTATTTGGACCAAACACTGTTACTTCAGTCTTTGTTTCATTAAGTTTTAACAAACTTAGGGTCATCCAGTCCCTGACATCTTCAAGACACGCCAATAATGGCTTAATTGAGAAGTTACAATACAATACAATACAATACACACTATTGCTACAAGCAGTTAGTAACATTAACATTAATTTGCAGGCAAATATTATTGTCAAAAATGGTTTGATGTTTTGATTGCCTCATTTCTGATTGAATCTATCCATTTCTGTCACCTCTTGCCATCTTGCTGAAGTTTGAAAAAAGGCAGCTCTGGTGTGCTTAATACACACAATGTCATGCAACAATTAACACAAACCATTTTAAGATATTTTTGACAATGATTTTTTCACGCGAATGAATGTTAATATCTGTCACTGCTTGTAGCGATAGTGTGTTATGTCATCCCCACATTTTGACCGCAAACAACCACGGTAAACGCTGCATTACGTCATTATGTCTTAGGTCCATTCAAGGGAGGAATCCTTCAAAGGCTGCATTTGAAGCCCGACTGCGTCACAGCACTGTGACAAAGCCTGCCCATTTCAAAGGCTCCTTCAAATGCAGCTGAGAAATGTCTGCAACTGGTGGATCCTTCACAGCTCACCCTATTCCATGATTCTCTGTGCACTGGCAGAGAGCAGACCGGCTATCAAGAGTGCTAGAAGTCAGCAGCGGTGCTTCATAACGCAATGGTAAGGCTAGGAACAGTCGGCAACGTAATTGGAAATCCTCTGTAGACCAGACTGTCTCATTTTGGTTTGGCACATGGTTCGGCCAGACTTGGCCTTTGTGGACCGCATCGCTCAAATGAGGCAGCCATTAAATTGAGACAAAGCTAATGTCTCAGTAAAAAAACAAAACATAAATCTAAATACATAAATCTCAAATGTGAAATATCCAAAAACTGTTCTAACTTTGACAGAAAATCACATATTCTTGTTGGGCCCCATTATTCATGTTAAGAAGTTCATGGAGAAAATATGTTTTTCTAACCAAGGTACATGCCTGTAATTTGGATATAGGAGTCCATTTAAGTAACAGATGATATTGCAATATTTTCAGCAAAACACTTGACAGTACGCACCGTGTTCTCTTCATACTTGAATGGGATCTTGAGAGTCTCAGTTGCACGGATCATGGCCTGCATAGAGGTGAAGATATTCTGGTACACCAGTTTGGTGAAGCCCTTTTTATCCTCGTCTGTGTAGCCCGACCCATGGATTATTCTCATCTGCTTGATGAAAGTGCTCTTGCCACTCTCTCCAGTTCCTGAAAGAGACAAGAGGTCAGGGGAGGTTAGTCAACAACTGAAAAAGGATCAAAAAAGATAAATGACAGTGGAGTGTTAAAAAAAATACACCAGTAACAACAACAACAGTGTTTGAATACAGCTACAAACAAAGGAAATAACTAAAACAAGATGGTGATAAGTCTTGTGTGCAGACACACTGGAAAAATTATTCAGTGTAACGTGAAGCTTGCTAAATGAATCAAATGATGCTTCAAAAAATGGGTCAGTACCATTAAACCCCAAAACAAGTTCTAATCTATCCAACAACAAAATCAAGTGTCATGTAGTGCACTACTTTTCACTGTTTTTTTTTTCCACAGTAAAGTCTTAGAGCAAACTAAGCAGTAAAATAAAGAAATGCTGGGATGACTCTGTTCTCAACAAGGTCAACCAAGCATAACTAACGTGGTCAGATTTTAGCCGTTTTATATAACTCATATTTCTGTTGTAATGAACTGGCCTGCCCTTCCAACCAGCTGACCTTGTATGTCCACCTACGCCCTGGTGCTGATACACAAGGCTGTGAAGAAATCTGCATCATCATGCCCCAGGGAGTGGTCCAGACCTCAGTGCAATACAGGCTGCTTAGCTGAACTGGTCATTCTTTCTTTCCGTTCTGATTTTTCCACAAACAGTACAATCTATCTTCTGTCACCTGTATTCAAACACAAACCACTGAACCCAATGCACCCTAAAGTTTAGTTTAGTTTTTTGAAGGCAACAAGCTAAAACACATTGGTCTTACAATAAAGTTGTTCTATACACTGCAAGTGCTGCTGGAGTTTTGCCCTTTTCAGTTTATTTTTCCGTCATCTATGCACCTTGCCAGAAGTTGTGCCAGAAGTTTCTGCTTTGCCTCAACTGTGGTCTAGACATTGTCCTGCAAGTCAAACATCATCTTGGCCCTCAGATGAGCATTCTTCAGCAGTCCTTACCACAAAGGTCCAACTGATAGTCTGGATAAAGTGGCGCAAACCCAGGGTAGCCACATTAGGGCTGCATGGCTCACCTCAGCTCAGCAAAGAGCCAGGTAAACTGAGTTCACTTCTCCAGTTCTGTATCACAGTGGCCATGCAAATGCACACTTGCATAAATCTGCAGTAAATCTGTTTGCATATGCAGCAACTGAGATGTACAGAACTCCACAGATCCCTCACACACACACACACACACACACACACACACAAAAAAAACTGTACCACGAATGCTTCCACAGCAGGTCTCTGTTTTTATATGAACATATTTTGTGAGCAAACTTCCACTCTAGGCTTAGGAAATGTCAGAGTTGGATGAAAGCATCTGAGTTTTGTATACTGTGGTCCTCACCCAAAGAACAACATTCGGAAGACAAGGCAGGTAGCAGTCTTAGCCATGCTATGCTCTCCATAATCCTCTTCTGTTCCACCCCCATTACATATCATTTTTTCTTCTTCTACAACCTGCTTGAATTCTCCTCCTCTCACTCTCTCTCTCTGCCTCCCTATCTCACTTCTTCCAACATTCAAGTCTGAGTCACAGCACTTTTAGCTAAAGGTACACACTCTGGTCTCTATCCGTCACTCTTGTCTTTGTTCTACTAATCTCAAATAGGGCTGTAGCTGACAATTGCTCATTAAACTTGGGGGCGGTTGTGACTCAGGAGATAGAGCTGGTCGTTTTCAAACGAGGAGGTTGGCAGTTCAATTCCCGGTCTCCCGAGTCCACATGTCAAAGGGTCCCTGGGCAAAGACACTGAACCCCCAAGTCATGGTGGCCAGGACAGCGCTGCAGTTGGTGTGTGTGTAAAATAATGCCGCTGCCTCAGCTGAACACTCTATCTGTACCAGAGACAAATGACTTAAGCGTGTTAAACATACTTGGCCAATAAGATAAAAAAAAAAAGTGACAAAACATTTTTATTAATAA